GGGGGTATTTGCCCCCCTCCCCCTGGGGTATTTGCCCCCCCGGGAGTATTTGCCCCCTTTATCTGGGTTATTGACTCTCTCTTGGGGTATTTATCCCCCCCCCGGGGGTATTTGCCCCCATCTTTCTATTATTTGCCCCCTCTTGGGGTATTTGCACTCCCCCCCGGGGTATTTGCGCCTTTTGGGGGTATTTGTGTCCCCCACCCCGGGGCAGCTGAACCGGGGCAATAAAGGCTGCACGTTGGTATTTGCTGCCTCCCCCCGGCTTCTTCCTGCGGGGGTGCCCAGTGCCACCCAGTATGGGACTGGGAGCACTGGGGGAGGGGGGAGGGGGGGGGTATTCACTGGCGGCTGCTATAGGGTTGGGGTGCTGGTAGGGGAGGGTGGTCCCGGACACCGGGGACCTTCCCGGGTGGGGGTCCCGGCCACCCAGGTCCTTCCCAGGTGGGGGTCCTGGACTTCTGGGACCTTCCAGGGTGGGGGTCTGGGATGCCTGGGTCCTTCCCGGGTGGGGGTCCCGGACTTCTGGGTCCTTCCCGGGTGGGGGTCCGGGATGCCTGGGTCCTTCCTGGGTGGGGGTCCCAGACTTCTGGGACCTTCCAGGGTGGGGGTCCGGGATGCCTGGGTCCTTCCCGGGTGGGGGTCCCAGACTTCTGGGACCTTCCTGGGTGGGGGTCCAGGACACCCAGGTCTTTCCCGGGTGGGGGTCCTGGACTTCTGGGTCCTTCCCAGGTGGGGGTCCTTGACTTCTGGGACCTTCCAGGGTGGGGGTCCGGGATGCCTGGGTCCTTCCTGGGTGGGGGTCCCAGACTTCTGGGACCTTCCTGGGTGGGGGTCCAGGATGCCTGGGTTCCTCCCCAGTTTGGGGTCTGGTTCAGGGCTCTGGATACTGGGAAGGGGGTGGGGGTTGGTTTGGGGCGCAGGACCCCTGGGTCCCTCCCCAGTTTGGGGTGGGAGCTGGGGGGGCTGGTTTGGGTGCCCGGACACCTGGGTCCTTCCCAGCTGCCTCTCCCCCACCACCAAGCCTTGGTTTGACACCAAACCAGACGACATCCCATTTCTGCACTAAAAACCGGCATTTTGGGGCAGATGAGAAAACACCGCATGGGCCCGGCAGCTACCACCCTCTTTTGGGGCAAAAACTCCCCAAATGGCTGTGTCCTCACTGCAAAAACTTCCCTTTTTGGCGGAAAATCCCCATTTTTAGCACCCATGTGGATTTTGGGTCTGTTGGCTGATTTTTTTGTGTTCTAGAGATGTGTGTGTGATCCAAGTTGGCTTGAATTCCCTTTGATTTACAGGTTCGAAGCAGAAAATGTAGATTTTTTTTTTTTAAAAGGGAATTTTTTTTCCTCCAGCATGGGGCAAAATAGGGGTTTATGTGATTTTTCCAGAAATACTGATTTCTGAAAGCGATGTTTTGGGATAAGAGGAACTGCTTTGAGAACGTGAAACATCCCAGGCGCCTGACCATGGGTGTTTTGTGCTGCTTGCGGGTGCTTTTTGTGCATCACTACCGCATTTTTCCTGATGGCAAAAAAAAAAAATGAAGAAGTGCTAACTTTCTGCAAAACGCAGACAAATTGCCAAATTTCTAATAATAGTCCTCCCTCCCCGCCTTTTTCTTTTTTTTTGCATTTATTTGCACTTCTTTTCCTGTTCAGACTTTGGCCTTTCCCAGGGCTCGTGTGTCTCTGGGCGAGCTCAAGCACTGCAGGAAAACACCGCTCGGGGCTAGAAGTGACCCAAAAAGGACCAAAACCACCCCAAAAAAAGGGATTTACATCAAAGCGGGAGCAGAGGTGAGGTAGGGAGTGCGGCATGGGGCAGCAAAACACGGGCGAGTGCCGGTTGGGATTTGCATCGAGCCCGCGGCTCGTGGGCAAAATATCCAGCAGAACCCAAACCGGTTGGTTTTAGCCCCAAAATGTGAAGCTGGGCATTTGGGAACCCCACAGGAGGAAGCACTTGTTCCCAGCAAAGATGGAACAGTTGCGGATGGTTTGTTGGGTTGGGAGGATGATGTGACCGTGGGGCTGCTGAAATGAATATGTTTCTTTATTAAAAATGTATATTTAAATCGCAGCCTCCGGAGGTGGCCGGCAGGATGCTGAGGTGTGAGGTATGGCGCTTTGCGGGGCACTGTTTTGGGTTATTTAGGGGATTTTTAACTGCTTCAGGGGAAAAAAGGGGTACTTCCTAACTCCTAGGAAGTAATTATTTAAAAATTTAAATGAAATAAAAAAAGAAATAAAAGGAAAAAATAGAGTTATTATGAGTGGGTGCCATGTTGCATTAACCAGCCTCTTCTTTTTCCCCCTGGGCTGGTTAAAAATTAAAGCTGTGTCCATATGACCAGACAGGATTTCACCCCAAAAACCAGATGGACAAAGGGATATCAGGATACAGCCATGACCCGACTCCTGGTCAGGAATTGCCGTTGGGGTGCGGGATGGTGAGGTGGTGCTTGACGGGGTGACACCTTCCCCTGGTCTTCTCCACAGTTATTCCTCACCGCCACCCTCCTCCTCCTTGGCCGTGGAAGCAGCGGGGCTGATGGACCTGCCAAAATCCCGTCGGTGGGAGTGATGGGAAGGAGACCTCTGCAGCCCCCGGGTGAGTCTTGCTCTCTGGGGGGTTGACCTTGGTTGGCTGGCAGACGCCCACCCAGCTGCTCTCTCCCCTTCCTTGGTTGGAAGGGCGAGAAAATAAGATGAAAAAAGCTTGTGGGTTGAGATAAAGGTCAGGGAGATCACGGACCCTTTACTGTCGTGGGCAAAGCAGACGCGACTTGGAGGAGATTAATTAAATTTATTGGTAATTAAAAATAGAATAGGATGGAGAGAAACAGAGAAAACTAGAAACACCTTCTCCCCTCAGCCTCAGCTTCACTCTTGACTCTTCTACCTTCTTCTCCCCTGAGAAGGTGTAGGGGAATGGGGGCTGTGGTCAGTTCATAACAACTATAGGATCTAGTCCTTCATGAACTGGGTCCTTCCCATGGGCTGGAGTCCTTCGGGATGAACCTGCTCCAACGTGGGTCCTTCCCATGGGCTGGAGTCCTTCAGGATGAACCTGCTCCAACGTGGGTCCTTCCCATGGGCTGGAGTCCTTCGGGATGAACCTGCTCCAACGTGGGTCCTTCCCATGGGCTGGAGTCCTTCAGGATGAACCTGCTCCAGCGTAGGCTCTCCACGGGCTGGAGTCCTTCAGGATGAACCTGCTCCAACGTGGGTCCTTCCCATGGGCTGGAGTCCTTCAGGTTCAACCTGCTTCAGCATGGACTCTCCATGGGCTGTAAGGGAAACCTCTTCTCCAGCCCCTGAAGTACCTCCTCACCCTCCTTCTTCACTGACCTTGGTGTCTGCAGGGTTGTTTCTCTCACATTTTTTCTCACTCCTCTCTCTCACAGCATTTTGTAGCCTTTCTTAAATACGTTACCGCAGAGGCACCACCAGCATCACTGATGGGCTCAGGTTTGGCCAGCGGTGATTCCATTTTGAAGCCAGCTGGACCTATCTGTGTCCAATGTGGGGCAGCCCAATGACTCTTCTGCAGCCCCCTCCCGCCCAAAACCTTGCCACATAAATCCAGTACATGGTCTCATCCATCCCTCTGTCCTCCAATGCGTGAAGGTCTCTGCTCTTCTGATTTTTAGCAGGATTGCCCCCCCGCTTTGCCCCCCAAAATTTAAGAAGGGTTTGTTGAGGTGTCTTACTTATGGTTTTCTTGGCCATCCATGTTCAGGCAAGCATGAAGTGTTGCGTTGTCAGCACCTTCCCCAATGGGGTGGATCTCTGCAGGACATTGCTCCGCCAGCTTTGAGCCGGTGGGGCAGGATGGAGGCATCTCATTTCACCCAAATCCCCCATTTCCTCCCCGCAGCTGCCAGCTGGAGCTTTCCCCGGAGGAAGCGAGATGTGGAGCCACCTTCATACCTGAAGTGGGTGGCTTTTGAAGGCACGCTGCCCGCCGATGCCGTCTCCAACTGGAACGACTATGCCAAGAGGATGGAGTATGTCTGCTCTACAGGAGTGCTCGGCTGCAACACTGGTGCCTACGTCCCCGACCGAGGTCCCTTCTGCTTCTTCCCGTTTGCAGAAAAGGAGCAGAGCACCCCCACCTTCAAGGTGTTAGTCAACGTGGGAGACTTTGAGGCGCTGGATTGGGTGGACGCCTCCTTCGGCAGCGTGCCTGAAAACGCTGTGGAGGGCTGCCCATCTGTTGATGTCTTCGTTGGGAGGAACCGCTACGGCTTGGGCAAGGTCAGCAAAGAGCAGAGGGCTGCCTTCATAGTGGTGGATGATGAGGAGGTTTGGTACAAGTGGTACCAAGTCTTGGTGGTCAAGAAGGGCCCAGCAGACATCTCCATCTCTGATGTCCGCTACAACTTCAGTGGGGCAGTGGAGCACGGGGAGGACGTCACCCTGACGAAGACCACGATGAAGAACGAGGGCTGCCAAGGGGTGCGGAAAGCTGTCACCTTGGAGGAGGCCACTGAGATGGAGCACGACTGGGAGATAGACCAGAGGGTCTTCGCCACCATCCGTGGGGTGTTGCGAGCCGCCATCTTGGCCTTCAATGGGACGGGCTGGGAGGTCACCAATGTCAACAACATCCCCTGGGTGGGGGGAGCGAGCACCAGCGAGTATGTTGTCCATACCCGTGTGGTTGAGAAGGAGGTGCAGCCCCGGATGGTGTGCACGGTGGCCCTGGAGGGACGCCGGTTGGACGTCCGCGTCCCTTTCACCGCGCAACTGACCCGTAATTTTGGCGACGGTCAAGTGCACCACGTGGCTGTGACGGGGTGGGCTCGCAGCCGGGTGGTGGTGGGTGTCGGGGCCAGTGTCAAGCAGTGCTGGCCCATCACTGATGTCTCACCGTGCCGGGGGTAGAGGATGGTGAGGCGGGTTGGTGCATCCGGCACGTTCTACTGGGACACAGAATACAATGCCACGTGATTTTTTTGCAATCTTTTTTCTGGGTTGGTTTGTTTGTTTGTTTCCCCCCCCAATAACTATCATCTCACCCCAAAACAGGATGGCAGCAACTTGGAATGCAGAAAAATGTATTTTTTTTGGCCTTCCATATTTTTTGTTTTCATGGCATAACCTTAATCCCTCTCTGAAACGACATGGCAACAACACAGAATGCAGAAAAATGTGGGGTTTTCTGTCTTTATTTTCTATTTTCTCCAAAATAAGCTCCATCTCTCCCCAAAAAGACACAGCAACAATGTAGAATATAGAAAAGTGCTGGATTTTGCAGCCTGCATTTTCTATTTTTTTCCCCAATAACCTCCGTCTCTCCCTGAAACAGGACGGTACCAGCGTAGGACGCAGAAAAATGCCTTTCTTATGGTCTCTATTTTTCCTTTTTTCCACCATAACTTTCGTCAATCGCCTCTCTCCAACCCGGCAGAGCAGCTGCCTGTTGAGGAACCTCTCTCCACCCAGAGCTGGATGGACATAATTTCGTGCCGTGATGCCTGTGTTATCTTTTCCCCTTGCGTTTGATGAAAAAATGCTTGCAGAGCAAAGAAATTCAGGTGTGTGGTTCATTAGAACGCTCCCAAAAAGTAATTTTGTAAGCAAAGGGTGAGGAAGAAGGGAAAAAAAAAAAGCCAAAATAAGGGATGCAAAGGCAACCATTCATCTCAGGGTGATGGTGGAGGCTGTGTCCTTGGAGGACACTCATGGAAGTGGCACCATCTCGGGGTTATGGTGGAGGTTCTGTCCTTGGAGGAGGTACCATCTCAGGGTGATAGTAGAGATTGTGTCCTTGGAGGACACTCACGGAGGTGGCACCATCTCGGGATGGAGGTGGCACCATCTTGGGATGATGGTGGAGGTTGTGTCCTTAGAGGATGCTCATGGAGGTGGCACCATTTCAGGGTGATGGTGGACCAAAGAAGCCCCCTTGGCGCCCAAGGGGTTAACCCCCTCCTCGCCCCCCCCCATTCCCGCCAAGGCAGGAGCGACAGTGGAGCTGACCAATCGATGCTCGGCTAGGGGCGGGGCCAGGAGGACTTTGGGGGTCCCGGGGGTCTGGGGGGGGAGCTGAGAGCTGGGGGAGTCCAGAAGGGCTGGGGGTCCTGGAATGCGGGCTGGGGGGGGTCCCCAAAAAGCTTAGGGGGGTGTCCAGGGGGCTGGGAGGGGCAAATATTTGGAGAGACCCCAGATGGCCTGGGGGGGCAGGGGGTGGTCCCCTAGAGGGTTTGGGGGGGGTGTCTCCCCAAATCTTGGGGATTGCAAGCACTGCGACGCAACACGCTGCACTGCAACATGCTGCACTGCAATATATGCAGCACTGCAATGCAAATGCAATGCTGCAGCGCAAACCTGGCACAGCAAATGACAATGCAACGCAACGCTGCAGCGACTGCAATGCACATAGCAATGCTACAGCGCAAGCCTAGTGCTGCAACGCAAACGCAACGCTGCAGCGCAAGTGCTACGCTGCAATGCAAACACAATGCTGCAGTGCAAGTGCTACGCTGCAGCGCACACGCAACGCAGCAGCACAAGCACCATGCGCTGGGCCGCGGATAACAAAATGCAGTGCAAGGCCGTGCGCAGCGCAAGCGCAACGCTGCGCTGGAGGCACCCCTGCAGCTGCAGCACCACCGTTGCAGATGCAGCACAACATCCGCTGCGCATGGCAAAAGCCACGTTGCAGGGCGGCGCGCCGCGCGAACCGCCTCGCATCGCCGCAAGCGCAACGTGCGATGCTGCAGGCAGCGCTGCGAGGTCCCACTGCCGCAGCGCCGCATTCCCCAGGCTCCTCTGCAAGCGCAACACTCCGCGGCTCGGCGCTGCCATCGCCGCGCTGCAACACGCATGCCAGGCTGCTCGACAGCCCCGGGATGCATTTCGGTTGCAACCTCCCATATCAAATGTGCTTGCACGCCGCAATTAAAAAAAACCACAAAGGAGCGCAGAGAGGTGGCTAAAAACCATCGTTACAGCAAAATGGGGGGCAAAAATTGGGGGGGGTGCGTGTGTGCGCGAACCGGCCCGGAGGAGGGAAGCAGAACCGCGAAGGTTTGCCCAAACCACCCCATTTTGAGCCCTGGGCAACCAGGCAAGCGGCTGGTGAGGTAGGTCGGTCTCTCGAAATTTAAGGTCCGGCGTGGGAGGGGACGGCGCTCGCTGCGATGAATAAATACCGAAAAGGGGGCGGAGGGTGGGGGAAAGGCGAGTTGCAATTGAAAGGGAAGAACAGGGGCGTCCCGGTGGTGGGGTTAGGGTGGAGGGGAGATGGAAGTGCCCTGAGGAGATGGGTGAGGGACCAGGGAGGCACCAAGCTCATGGGGGACATCGATCATCAGTTCGTCTTCATCCCCCATCTGCGTTACGTCTCCTTTGGGACGCTGTCCTGGAGTCACCAGGCTCACGCGGGACATCAGTCATCAGCTGGTCTTCGCCCCCAGCCACGTCGCATCTTCTCCAGGACCTGGGAGACATGTCCTGGAGCCACCAGGCTCATGGAGGACATCAATCATCGGGTCACCTTCATCCCCGACTGTGTTGCATCTCCTCCAGGACCAGGGAGACACATCCTGGAGCCACCAGGCTTGTGGAGGACATCAGTCACCAGCTCCTCATCCCACCATCCGTGTTGCATCTCCTCTGGGCCCAGGGAGCCGTATCATGGAGCCACCAGGCTCATGGGGGGGTCATCAATCATCAACTTGTCTTCACCCCCGGCTGTGTTACATCTCTGGGACGCAGCGTCCTGGAGCCACCAGGCTCATGGGGGAACATCGGTCATCCGCTCAACTTCACCCCTATCGGTGTCACATCTCTGGGATCGGGGAGCCAAGTCTTGGAGCCGCTGGGTTTGCGGGGGACATCAAGCATCAGCTCATCACCCCCCCCA